TTCCAGAAAGGGCTGATGGCTCCAAAGGATCTCAGGAAAAAATAGAGAACCTCAAAAATGCTGTTCCAGAATGGGCTGATAGCTCCAAGGGGGTCTCAGGAGCATGGAAACAAGAGACAACACCAGAAATGCTCCTCTGGAAAGGGCTGATGGCCCAAGAAGAGAACTTCAGAAATGCTGTTCCAGAAAGGGTTGATGGATCCAAGGGGTCTCGGGAAAAAAGAGAGAACCTCAAAAAAGCTGTTCCAGAATGGGCTGATGGCTCCAAGGGGTCTCAGGAGCATGGAAACAAGAGACAACACCAGAAATGCTGCTCTAGAAAGGGCTGATGGCTCCAAGGGGTCTCAAGAAAAAAGAGACAACCTAAAAATGCTTTCCAGAAAGGACTGGTGGCTCCACGGGCTCTCAGGAGCATGGGAATGAGAGAGAAGTTCACAAATGCTGCTCTAGAGAGGGCTGATGGCTCCAGAGGGTCTCAGGAACAGGGAAACAAGAGACAACATCAGAAATGCTCCTCCAGAAAGGGCTGATGGATCCAAGGGGTCTCAAGAAAGAAGAGAACTTCTGATATGCTGCTTCAGGAAGGGTTGATGGCCCCAAAAGTTCTCAGGAAGGAAGAGAATTTCAGAAATGCTGCTCCAGGAAGGGCTGATGTCCCCAAAGGGTCCCCTAAGCTCAGCTCCGGGGGAAAAAAAAACATAAAATCAACCAGAGGAACCTGGAATTCCAAGGTTCTTGGTCCTCCCAGGCTCACCTGGGAGCACTTTTGTTTTCAGCCATTGGCCAACATCTGGAGCACGGTGGGGTGCCTGTGTTGCCTTCACATCTGGCACAGCTGTGCTGGAAGTGAGCGCAATAATTCCCACACACGTGTTGGGGCAGGTTCCTTTCCCAGGAAGCCACAGGACAAAGCCAAAAGGAATTCTACACAAATGAAGTGGAAAAAAAAAACAAAAACAGAGGAGAAGAAAGGATTTTGTGCAAGGGAGGAAAATGCAGTGCCAAGGTTGGAGAGGCAAAAGGAAAATGAGGCACTGAGGAGGAGGAACTGAACTCAGACTGGAATAAACTGCCTGGATTTGGGCCGTTCCTCACTTGCAGCCCTGCTTTTCCCACCACATTCCCTCAGCATGGGATTATCCGCAGAAAATCAAGGAGGAGAAACTGGATCCCAGGGGGAATGACAAGGGAAGGCTCAAGGAGTGGGAGGCGCTGGGGCAATGTGACAGCTGATGCAATTTTCCTAAAATAAACCCAAAAAGGCTCGGAGCATTTTGTGATCTGAAGCCCACGACACCAGGAGGAAGCAGCAACAGCAGCACAATTCCCAAGGAAAATCCCAATCCCTCCCCCCCAACAAAACACACCATGGATATAAAAGATCTGGAAAGCCTCGTTATCAAAGCAACCATCTCCACCCTGAAAGTGAATTTCCCACCTAAATTTTCCAATCAGAAACATCTCCTGAAGCTCCAGAACACCCCAGGAACATTTTGGGGTGTTTTGGGTGCTCATCCTGATGGGTTTTGGGAAGGGGAAGGGGAAGGGGAAGGGAAAGGGAAAGGGAAAGGGAAAGGGAAAGGGAAAGGGAAAGGGAAAGGGAAAGGGAAAGGGAAAGGGAAAGGGAAAGAGAAGAGAAAGAGAAAGAGAAAGAGAAAGAGAAAGAAAGAGAAAGAGAAAGAGAAAGAGAAAGAGAAAGAGAAAGAGAAAGAGAAAGAGAAAGAGAAAGAGAAAGAGAAAGAGAAAGAGAAAGAGAAA